TAGGAATTACATCAGCCCATCCAATTTCATGACGATAAAAAATATAGCAGTGAAATAAAGTCTCATAACAGAAAAATCAGAGGAAAATAGAAATACATAAAAGGTGCAAAATTACATGATAGAAAAATGCAAAGTCCATAACAGAAAATACATAGCCAAACTCGTGATCGATTACACAAGGAATTCCCTAACAGAATTTGTGTCAAATACCAAATTACCCATCCTAAAATTATATAAAACTGAGGCTGCAATTGAATTGGAGGAGGAGGTCTTCAGTTTTTTTTCTTCCCATTTTCTTCATCCTTCTTCTTCACTTCTACAGAACTTAATCCATACCTCACTGTGATAACCAAAAGGGCTGAAGAGATTTGCAATGCTCTTCTTCTTCACCAATCTCCCAACCTTATTTCTTCCATTGTCACGCGCAAAATCTTGTAACAACCACAAAAATTGCTAAAGTTCAGATTCACCTGCAAATCGTTGAAGCCGCAACAACCGAATTCAAACATCACCAAGCGAAGAGCGATCACAGTAGCACAGGGAAGTAAGAAGAAGAAGATTTGGAATTCAAACCTGAGGATTTTTTCTGGTTTTTTTTGTTGCTTCGCTGTCGTCGAAGATGCCATAAGAGCGACTCCGATTCGTAAGTGTTTCTTCCTTCATCACTCTTGCAAGGATACTATTGATACCTTGGTGTGGATTGAATCGTGATTCTTATTTTAGATGGTTGTATTTAGATTCTTATTTTAGAAATTAATTTTATCTTTATTAATTTTTTAGAATTAGATATTAATTTTTAGAATTAGATAGTAATTTTGAAATTTAGATTTTAATTTTAGATTAGGTTTTTTTAAATAGAATTTAATCTCGATTTTAATTAATGATTACCTTTTTAATTTTTGTTTTGGAAATTAATCTTGACTTGAATTTCTAGTTAGAGATTAATCTTGAACTTAGTTAGATTTTATTGAATTAAATTTCGATTTAGTTTTTAACTGTCATTTTGATCTTAATAAGTTTTTTTTTCTTGACTTTGATTAAATTCTAATGTTGATCTTGGTTACGATTAATTGGTGACTTTGGTTTTGATTAGATTTCGATTAACTCTTGGTGATCAAATTGTGAATTCTAGACTAATTCTTGATGATGCTTGTATATATTTTCCTCTTGCCTTGTAATTGATATTGTTACACGACTTGGCTTTACTCTTGAATATTTACTTGAGTTTTGTACTTGGTGTTGTTTGTGATTGAGTTGTTTAATGTCTGATCACATGCTCCCTTAAGGCTCATAACTTGAACTTAATTTTTAATTTGGTTCAAGGTAGGATAGACATTAGACTCTCAATCCTTTGCATGACAACATTAGGTTAACTCCTTTCTAATCCTGATCTTAGGGCCATTTTTGCATGATAACATGTAGGACCGAGTTCCCCTTAGACTTCATGTGCGTCTTTCTCTTCTCTCCCTCAAAACATCAATTTCAAAACACTTAATAAATATGATGAGTATTGTGCACCACAAGCCTTAAGTATATGGGAAATGATGAGTGAGGAGTCTCTCCTTACTTCTTCTATAGTGTTTAGCATACGCCCCATTTGGGGATGATCTTGCGACGCATTCGCTCTTATGTCATAGACTTTAGTGAAATACAAATCTCAAACAAATGCAATTCACTTCTTTGACAATCCAAAACCTTTTCTCTCGCTCCCGTGCGATCGAAGTTTTTTTCTTCCCGTAGTCCTGTGAACTACGGATGCTCTGAATCCTCATTCCTTAATGAGGATACGTAGGCACGAGGATCCCTATCCTTGGCGAGCATACTAACAAATAACTACCATTTTCTCTCGCTCCCCGGGCGATCGAGACCAACCAGATAACCGAGCCCTTTCTCTCGCCCCAATGCGATCGATACCTTTCCCGTGGTCGTAACCACGAACTACAGATGCTCTGACTTCCTCATTCTCGTCTAAATAAGGATACGTAGGCACAAAAAGGCAAAGTCTTGGTGATAAACCTTCCCCCATTCACCCGTAGTCCTCCAAACTATGTTGACTCTAACTTTCCCATTGCACGAGGGAATATGTAGGCCTAGGACGACAAAGTCCTATCGAGTCTCCTTTTTGTTTTCCCTTTTCGTTTTTGTCTTTGTTTAGCAGTAGGTTCTAGATAACACACCCTTTGATTAGACATCAAGCATGGATCCCGTTAAGTACAACAAACGCGGGGGGTGCTAATACCTTCCTCTCGCGTAATTGACTCACGAATCCAGGATTTGGTTGCGAGACCATGTCTTCTTCATTTTTTGATGTTTTCTTCGATCGTTTCCTTTCATCCGATGGGATAAACGTTTGGTGGCGACTCTTCTATTTTTTCTGCTAGGTGTTTTTCGCAGTTGCAACATTAGCATCTTGACATTTCCAGCTCAATATGTTACCGACTTCCTAACATTTTTTAAGTGAATGAATAAACATAAACTCTGATTCTATTTGAGCACAATTAATCTAAATTATGATACATAACTGAATACTAACCTTGTGATTTGGAGTTCAATATGTAAGATTTCATTTTTCCTAGTTGTACCCTGTTTCCATCTTCAAAACCACGTGGACTAATATATATTATATTATATACTAATAAACATTCAAAGGGACACGTAAAAAAAAGATATAATAATTTTTTGTTTACCTTAGCAACAATGGTTATATGTTGATATAATACCCAAGTGATAGGACAATGCTGCTAACAACAAAGAGATGAAGCTTCTGAATCTCATCCAAAATTTTGATCAAAACACCCTTTTGATTTTGGTAGAGAATCCATATGAAAACATTTTTGTCCAATAAGTTGGAATTCAAATGTGGTTTCCTTCTTTTAACATAATACATAAGGTTCAAATATCATTCAAATCCAAAAGTACATGAGAAAATGATCAGCTCAGTCCATAACCATATTAAACATGATGATTATGAGAGGGACCAACTTCTTCCTAATTCTCACTTTCTCCAAAGTTCAAAACTTAAACAGATCAAATAAAAGAGAATAAGTTAATAATAAAACCTAAATTGAAAAAGTAACATAGAAACCATTTCGAATCCGATCATTACCACACTCGTCGCCAGAAATGCGTTGTCGACACCACATATCTACCACTGTCAAACCATCCACCTCCATAAAATTTCCATAGTTTCGTAGGTCTAAGTAGAGAAGGATAAAAGTAACATATTTGTTGAAGAAAAGGAAGACAGAAGAAAGAAGAAGAAGAAAGGCAGTGAAAGAGAGAAAAAAGAATAATAAGAAGAGAGGCATCAAAAGAGAGAAGATAGAAGAGGAAGAGAGAGGCAGTGGAAGAGAGAAGAAAGGAAGAGGAATAGACAGGTAGAGGAAGAGAGAGAACATGATTTTGCATTTGGGTGGAAGCATAATTTATTTTTGAATTGCATTTGACATTGAAAAATGTAAAAAGTTGTAGAATTTAGTACTATGTAGTTTGTTTTGAACCAATCAATGTAAATAGTGGACATCATAAGCAAAAGTTGAAGGAAAAAGCAGACTATTTAGTTCAAAATGATAGTTTGGTTGCAAAAAGAAAATTGTGGACACAAGTTGCCCCCAAATTGATGACATGGCAAAAAAAGAGATAAGAGTATAAATGTGTTTTCCACAACATCTAATTTTCTTATATTATAGATTGATGTTGTTTTGTTTTATGTAAATTGATGTCGTTTTATTTATTTCTAAAACCTATTTAATGAAGGATATGATATCTCACAAGATTCTATCAAAATCAACATTAGAAAAGCCGATATGAATTATAATTACTATCATTAGATTCAGAAACAAGAGATAAAGGAAGAGTTGAAAATAATGAGTAACAATAAGACAGTTGGACCAAACAACATACCTATTGAAATGTGAAAAATTCTTGGAGATAGAGGTATCGAGTGGCTCATCAAACTCTTTAATGAAATTATGAGGTCAAAGTACATGTCGAAGGGATGGAGAAGAAACACCTTAATTTCAATCTATAAGAACAATGATGATATACAAAATTGTACAAATTATACGGAGATTAAACTTATACACTCTTTCATCTATCTCTCTCGTCGACAACTGTGCTACGCCCTTGTAGAATGTAACCAAATTTTAAATTTTCAAACTAGTCACAATACACGGGTAATTACTACCCCATTCTTCTCGCATATTCGAACGACGTGGTTCTTAGAAAAATGATTAGGCGGTTAATTTTAATAATACAATTAATATCATTTAATTAAGTGTTTTTATTTATTATAATTAGTGAAATAGTTAAATATAAAAAAACTAATAATTAACGGTATATTAGTGGAAAAAAACAATATATTAATATTGTAAACAGACATTTATTTTGACAAAATATATAAATGAAACATGGAGAAAATACTTTTTTAATTGTATTTTTAATCAATAACACTACTAGGAAAAAAATTTGTATTACCTTTAATTCAACACTACCTTTTAAACTTCATTTATGACAAAAGGGAATACACGATAAAGACAATTTTGTATAAATATATTTTTTCTTTTATTTATACTACATTTTTTTAGTAGCATAATAGCAATTGAAACTTATTCTTTACATAATTACTACCTAACCGGCCGTTAGAGCATACATTTATTCTTTGGCTACCATCAATTGACCAATGAAATTAAATAATTTGAAAGACAAAACGATAGAATGCGTATGGTTAATAGTTTGTCATTTCATAATTGATTCTAGTGATATATTGCTATCATGGACCCACCTAGGCCTAATTTTTTATTGTTAAATGTCACTACTAATAAATTAAATGATATCTTATGAAAATTTTAAGACAATTTGTCAATCATCATCATTGGTTGGAGTATAAGAAAACTTTTATTTTGGTTTTTGTTTCAAGATAGTTAAAATCAAAACCTCATCATCCAAAAACATCTTATAGAAGAATTTGAAAATAATTTGTTATTGTTGTGAGAGAAAAGATGAGAAGAAGATGGTCCTTTTACACGAATATTTTACCAGTTGTTGTGATTATAGGCAATGAATGTATTGACATGAGTTTACTCACTTTGTTCAAAGCAGCAACACTTGAAGGAATGAACAATCATGTCTTTATTGCTTATGCTTATGCTCTTGGTACTTTTGTTCTTCTCCCTGTCACTCTTTTCACCAGAAGGTTCACAATTCTTCATTTATTTCAATATTATAAACAATAAACATATCTATATAATTTAGTTGACAAAAAATTTCATGTTTTGTTTTCATGTCTTTTTGCAGATCAAGAGTGGTTCCTGTTCCACTCAGTTTCTCCGTAATATGCAAAAGTTTCCTTCTTGGGGCAATAGGGTAATGGAAAATTGGCCTTATACTTAACTTAATAACAGTGATTGAATATTATTAAGCCCTTTTGAATCTGATGAATTGTGTTCTTTTGGAATTGTGTGGTCCTGTTATGCAGATGTGCATCACAGATTCTGGAGTATATCGGCGTTAGTTACAGTTCTCCAACACTTTCTTCAGCAATTGCTAATTTGGTACCTGCTTTCACTTTCATACTAGCTGTCTCTTTCAGGTTTGATCATTATATTTGAATTAGACAGTGATTTACCATAACCACTATAGAAACATCTTAATCTATTTTTTTCTCTTATCTCTCTGCAATTTAGGATGGAAAAGTTAGCTTTAAAGAGTAAAAGTAGTAATGCTAAAGTAGTTGGAAGCATAATATCAATAGCAGGTGCTTTTGTCTTGACTTTCTACAAAGGACAATCCATCTTGAATTCCTCACCACTTCATCAACCAATTCAATTTCTCAAGTCAGTCGATTCAAGTTGGGTCGTTGCTGGCATTCTGCTAATAGTTGACTATTTTCTGGTTTCTCTATGGTACATTTTACAGGTACGTAGAATTAGTATTAATTTATGAAGCACTGACTCAGACACAAATAATAAGTACAACACTGACGCGTAAACCTTAATAATAATTTGAGAAAATGGTAGTAATTGACTATAATCACATGGGTTGGCGTCATACACCAACACATATTTGACAGGTACACATCTTGCAAGAGTTCCCAGATGAATTAACATTAGTCTTGTTATACTCTACCACTGCAACAATCATATCAACAGTTGTAGCTTTGTTATCAGTTCCAAATGCAAGTGCTTGGAAAATAGGACTAAATCTCTCACTCGTCTCCATTGTTTCCTCTGTAAGTTATACTGCAAACTACTCCGACGCTTCGACCAAAGAATATAAGCTCTTAAGTTTGAGCAGTTTATTGATGACAAATTTCATTTTTCAGGGAATTTTTGGAAAGTTAATAGGAAATATAGTCTATGCGTGGTTAATTCACTTAAAGGGTGCTGTTTATGTAACCTCATTCAAGCCACTGCAAATTGTTATTTCTGTTGTTTTGGGAGTTATATTCCTCGGTGATTCTCTTTATGTTGGAAGGTATGCAAATAATTCGATTTTTGCATTTGATTATTTCTAATTTTCCAACTTAATTATATGGTTGTTAAAGTTTTAATTTGTGTATATTTTTTCTGCAATTTGTAGTATAATTGGAGCGACAATAATCTCAATTGGGCTTTATGGTGTATTATGGGGCAAAGCAACAGAAGAGATAGAGAAAGATGTTGGCAGTATGGAGTCACCATCTATAGAGAATGCACCTCTGTTGCAAAGTTATACAACTCAAACTTTTGAAAAGAAAATAGATGCAAATGTATAAAAACATTGGTATCGAATCAAAATTTATCTATGAACTAAAAGCCATACACATAAAAGCATGAATATAAGATACATCATACATGAAAAGATAAGAAAAAGAAATGAAGACAAGTAAAACCAAATGATATATAAAAATATTAAGTTAAAAAGTTAAAAAGTTATAATTAATAAATAGAAGGAAATAGATTATTTGCTAATATTTAACCCAGTGGTTACAGCCGAACTTTTGGATGCATGATAGTCATGTTGTGAGTTCGAGTCATGTATAAGTAGTTTTACAAATTCATATTTTTATTTTACCGAAAAACACAACTTGTATGAATATAATTAAAAAAGAAAAATCATATGTGCATCTCTGGATATTTTCAATTCATATTTTTATTTTAGTCAAAAGACAATTTGTATTAATATAACTAAAAAAATGACATGTGCACCTTTTCAATTTTTTAAAAATAAATTTTGATTAAAATACATAAATTATATTTAATTTATATTTAAAAAGATCCATCATATAACAAATTCACTTATTATTAAATTTATATGATAACATATAATACATTATTATTTGTGTCTTGTTCTATTACTTTATGTTTTATTTTATAGAAAAATATATTATTAAATTTTATTTTATAATAATAAATTTAAACTTAAAAAATTCAGTATTAATTTTATTAAGATAAATAGATAATTAATTAAATTATTAAAAATATAATTTTTTAAAACAACTTAATTAGAGTTAATATCATTTAATGTAGTATTTATAAAATTTTATTCTTTGTTTAACTAGTTTAACTTTTACGTAAGTTTATATCAATTTTAATATAACTTTGAAGTTTTTACGGTTATGTCTTAAAATTTTGAAGTTCTATCGAAATACTTAGAACTTTATGGTTGTTTATGATTTAAATATATAAAATATTTTTAAATTTATTTTCTTTATATTAGAAGCCACTTTTTATAAAAATCTAACAAGAATTCTATTTGAGATGACTTTGGAAAAGAATGAAAGGGTATCATGGTAGTTATGTGTGCTTTATATATTTAGTGTTTGGATAAATTAATAGAGAGATAAAGATTAGAAAAATTTGACAAAAACGTCTAACCAATGAAAAAATATAATTGACAAAATTATTTGTGTGGTTATGACGAATTTTATTATCAAATTTTTATGATTTAATATAATTTATTATCATTTGTGAAAATGGATTTTCAACAACTGCTTTTGTGTAACCCTCTCTAAATGAATATATTGATTTGATTTGTTTGAATCGATGTCAATATAAAATGCACATCTTCTTCCTCAATACGTTTTCACATTTTCATGTATTTATATCACTTTTAGTTCTTCATTGTCGAACATTTTTCTCCCACTTGCCAGCCATCGCACCGCCACCACTTCCGCTGACAACCACAATCACCACCTTTTCCTTTGAGTCTTACACAATGACATTCTTCTCGAAAAATAAAACCCAAAAAAAGAAAATAAAAATTCAAGGTTAGATGCTCAGTACTTTATTATGACTCAATTTTTATTATTTGCCCAAGGCCTCTAAAAGGTCAGGACCGACCCTGTTAACATGAGGAAATGTTATATAACCCTTCCTTAAGTGGAGAAATTGATCAGTATTGATCGCTTTTGTCAGAACATCTGCCAACTATTATTTGGTGCTATAGTGCATAACTTCTCGCACTCCATTCTGAACTCGACTTCTCAGAAAGTGATACTTACTCTCAATATGCTTGCTTTTCCCATGCAACACTGAGTTCTTGACAAGATTGATTGCATACTTGTAATCAATCATCAACTTCAGACGCTTGTTTACCTTAATCTTCAGATCCTGTAGTAAATTCAAAAGCCAAACAGCTTGACATGCAGTACAATCCCGCAATAGATTCAGCTTCACAGATTGACAAAGCAACAACTGGTTGTTTCTTGGAACACCAAGAAATATGACCTCCTATATACTTAAACAAATATCCATAAGTACTTCTTCTATCAACTTTGTCTCCAAACTAATCAGAGTCTGAGTAACACATCAAATCTGGATTAGTCTTTCCACTATAAGGGAACAACACGCCATACTTCAAAGTCCCATTAATATACCTCAGAATCCTGACAACATCTTGGTAATAAGACCACTTAGGTTTACTCATAAACCTATTAATCATTCCAATTGCATAACAAAAATCAGGTCTAGTAATACACAAATACCTCAGATAGCCAACCAACTGCTTGAAAGTTGTAGCATCTACATCATCACCCTCGGGATCAAATTCCAATTACTCATTATTTGGATCTTTCAAAAGAGTAGTGAGTCACCACCATTAATCCTCATAGGCTTATAGAACTTGGGCTTAGATAATTACATTCCACCAATCTTGGAAAATCAACTTGTCCTCAAGGTGCAACTTCAGAGTCATGTTCAATTGATACAAAATAATTATATTGGTGGATGATCCAAATTAAGAATATCTAATTAAGAATAAAGTTCACATCAACCAACCCCACTTCTACTTCAATCACTCTATAACAGCTTGTTGAACTTGATGTTATCTATATTTGACCCCTAACATGTAACACCCTTTTCTATCCCACAAATATAATGGCAAATCAATCATATTTATCAGAGTAAAATATTGAACGCAATAAAATCATCTCAAAAGGGCGCACATTTATCAATAATTCAAATATAGTCAATGCTCTGTAAACAACGAGTTTTCTCAAAATTACTCAAAAGGCAGCGGAACTCAAAAAGGAAAAATCCAAAGTTTTTCTTGTGCAACAACATAATCAAAATAACAATAATCAATAAAACATGGTTTAACTCAAAGACCCCAACCCGATGTTACACTATCAGAGCAAGACCCTCTAAGTCAACCACAATGGGACCCTCTGAGTCAACCACAATGGCCAACTACCCAAAAACTTCAAAAAGTCCTCGACGGCATCCACAGCTAAACCTAGTCATCTGCATGTTACCCACGTGGAGGCAACATTCAAACAGGCAGGGTGAGTAAAATGATTCATAATAATCAATATAGGAATCAATATATAAAATGGCGTCATTTTCATATTCAACACCATCATAATCATCAAGGAACATCAAATGCCACAACATTATAATTAACACCAAATTGTCACATAAATGCAAATGCAACAAGACTCATGCATATGGTACTAATCAAAAAAATTCGATAGACACTGGACCATCAACCCTCCATAGATCCACAACAGTAGGATCGATTCCACACGAGAACCGGAGCACAACAAAATACCTCACATCCGCACAATGGAACTGAAGCCACAAGAATCAAGGTCCTTGACCGAAGTCTGGAATGCATATGAATGCATGATGCACACGTCAATATCATCCTCATAATAAACTCATCAGGTGCATCATCATTCATCAAAGTCATCATAATAATCATGTCATCATAGAATCATCAAAAACTCATGGAATCAACATCATAAATCATCATAATTACTCATGGGAATTCATTATACAATCATGTATTAATCTCAGAAGAATCATAGTCACACTCATGGTAATTCATCAAAGAAATCACAACATCAAAACATCAAGACATCACTGCACAAGATCAGAATTCGCGAAACTCTGCTACGTTCGCTAGCAAGTTCGCAGTGCGAGTCTGGGGTGAATGTTCATTGTGCGAAGCATTCTTCGCTGTGCGAACTCGCGATTACAACAAATCACTGTTATGCACCAGCACCAAAACCAGCCCAAAAACCTCTACGATTTCTTTCCCCAATGCCCTAAAAACATCCCTAAATCATTCCTAAGGTATTACGGGGATAAAGGCACAAAATCTACGACTTATTAGGACAATCCCTTATCATATTTACGCCTCCAATTCCCATAAATCCTTACAAATACCCCACATTCATTAAAGTTCTCACAATCAATTACCCTATACGGTTCAAACCTCAACAATAGATTTTGACCACGAAGGCCTAATTTCCCTTATTCTCAAATCAACCTCAAGCCTATCAGACCATCAGTTCAAATCCCTCAAACTCATTGAACTCACCATCAGAAAGATAATAACAATTCAATACTCAAAATCCCTAAACCCTTAAATCAACTTTAAACACATTGAATCACATATTGAAAATAATGAAGGCAATACTCCTCATACCTTAATTGTCGACTCTAAGCCTTTCACCTTGATTCTTGGAAACCTTGCGAAGCTTTTGCCTCAATCCTCTTCCTTAGAGCTCTGGCCTCTATTTCTTCCCTTTTCACGGTCTAACAAGAATGAATCCTAATTCCATCAAAATTCCTTTTTGTTAAACCTAACTTTAGGCCTTTAAAATTGGACTTTCCAACTTCACCCTCACTAACTCCTCCTCAAATGTCTATTTTTCCCTTAATTCACTTATATTTATTTAAATTGATAATAATACCAATATATTCATATTATATACTATTATTTAGATAAATAACTCAAAATCCA